CTTATATTTATTAATGGGGAAAATCTTAGATCGGTACTGGGTAGTCCAAAAAATGGTAAATAAAGAGTTAAAAATAAATCTAAGTAAATTTGGCGGTTGGTTTATTTTATCCCTCCTCTGGTCTTGTAATATAATAAATGATGCTTAAAAGCGCAATTTTAAATTTTTCTTGTCTTGTAAAATATTAAAATAAATTAAAGATTTTTAAAATGTTATTATAAATTAAAATATAAATTACAACAGGACAAGAACAGGTTTAGGCCATTTTAGGTCTTTTTAGGGGGATGGGGTAAACAACACAAAATTTACCTAGATTTTTTATTTATTTTTAACTCTTTGTTTACCATTTATTGGATTAATATTATTAATATTATTTAACCAAATCTTCCTGGTACAAAATTACAAACAATACAAAAGGTAATGCTTGAGATTGTTTCAACGATAATGAGACATCTTAAGCCTAGTACCACTATTAGACATGCTACACAATCAGTTTGTTCATAAACTGACCTACAGTCTGATCATTGCCTAGTCTTATGTTCACACTACAATGTGAATTTAGGTAAAGGTAAAAGTAATTACTTACCATACATTAATATTTTGTGAGATATGCATGAAGTGAGAGTATAAATATAAATGAACCTAAAAGTGATCATAGATTAATAATAAAAAAAATTAGAATTTTAATCGTCAATATTATATACTTAGAATAATATACATTTAATTTAGCACATTTAAAAGTAAAAAAATGAAATAAAATAGCATGTTTAGAATAGAAATGTTTTTGAAAAGACAGATTCATATTTTCAAGCTTCACCTAGAAAAGCAAACTATTTTATCTGCATACGCACCATAGACAGGCAAATCAGAAGAGATGAAAAATGACTTCTGGGCTGCGTTCTCTGACACCATCTCAACAATACCAAAATCTGAAATAATCCTGATTGGAGGCGATCTCAATAGCCACGTTGGAGAGAAAAACAGATGGTTTTGACAACGTGCTTGGCGGTTTTGGCTATGGAGAACGGAATGAAAATCATTGAGTTTGCTGAAAGTCACGGGTTTTGTTTACTGTACACATATTTTAGAAAGAGGTTGGAACATCTCATAACATACAAAAGTGGACCATCAGCCACGCAAATTGATTTCTTCGCTGTCAAGCAACAACACCGAAGGCTATTCAAAAATATCAAAGTTATACCTGGTGAATCATGTGTTGCTTAACGTAGACTCCTTGTGGCAGACCTAGTTGTCAAACTGTCACAACATATGTCTAAACAAATGCTTCAGAGGATCAAAAGGTGGAAACTGAAAAGGAATATTCATCAAGAAAAATTTAAACAGATTGTCGCCACACTGTTAGACCACCAATCGCAATCCAGTACAGATTAGTATACATAAAAAATGGTTATGATAAACGCTGCAACTACAGTTTGAATGGGACACTTGGTGGTGGAATGACAGTGTACAAAATGCAATAGCTGAAAAGAAAGCTGCATACAAGCAATGGCAAAAATCAAGGTCTTTTTAGGACCATAAAATTTTTCGTGAGAAAAACAACTATGCAAGACGTCAAGTCACACTGCCTTGGACAGATCAGTGCAGAGAGTGACTCACTAAAAGCAAAGATGAACAAATGAAATCTCTGTATCGTATGGCAAAACAAGCAGAGTGTACAAAAAAAGACAGTTGGTTCCTCATGTATCAAAAACGACAAAAATCAGATGGTTCTTGAACAAGATGAGATCAAAGATAAAACTACAGTGGAAAGAATACTTCAACCGTCTGTTAAATGAAACAAATCCCATCAATGTCAACTTTGACGCTCCACCCATGGAAGGTCCGATTCCAGACATCACTGTACACTGCTCTGAAAGTTATGAAGGATGGAAAGGCAGCAGGGCCCTCTGGACTCACAAATGACATTATCAAAGCATCTGGTACTGCAGGTATCCAAACGTTACTACAATTTTGCCGTGAAGGCTCAATGCCGACTGAATGGAACTATAGTTCAATGGCAGTTCCGCTATACATTGAACTGTACATCATATCGGGGTATACGTCTGTTAGAACACTTCCTGAAAATTGTCGAGAAAATTATTGAGAGAATGTTAACGTCGTGCATTACAATTAGAAATAATCAATTGCAACAATTGATGCAATTCATATCCTTCGACGACTGCAAAAGAAGTACCTCGCAAAGCATCAACAACTATCACACATTTTTGTAGAACTTGAAAAAGCATTTGATTGAGTTCCCCGTGAAACAATCAATTGGAGTCTACGTCGACAACTCATTCCAGAATATCTTGTTCGACTTGTGATGGAAATGTATACGAATACTAAGACTCTCGTCAGCACAATGGTTGGAAACACAGATGCATTTGACATCGGCTTTGAAGTTCACTAATGCTCGATTCTCAGTCCACTATTATTTATAACTGTAATGGAAGAAATCACAAAACTGAGATGCTCTGGAGACATTTGGAATCTAATATATGCTGATGATATTGTTTTAACGGCTACGTCTGAGTGGAATGCAGCACAGATGTTTGAAGATTGGAACACCAGACTGGCCGATCATGGATTCAAAGTCAACATCAACAAAACCAAAGCAATGAACACTGGTGAACCCATCCAATCCACCAGCTACTGGACGATGGCCCTGTTCAGTTTGTAAAGCTGGTGTAGGTAACAATTCAATCAAGTGTCAGCAGTGTAACCGGTGTTGTTATATGGTGCAGAAACATGGCCAATGACAACAATTCAATCAAGTATCAGCAGAAGGTAACAATTCAATCAAGTATCAGCAGTGTAACCAGTGGTGTCACAAACGTTGTTCAAAAATAATTAGTACTTTATCTAAAGTGTCCAATTTTGTTTGTCCTGCTTGCATCAATATACAACAACAAATTCGAAATAGCAATGTTTTTGAAGCCATTAAGGTAGAGAAAGTCACATCGTTTCAATATCTAGGGGATGTTCTGGATTGTACTCGAGCACGCGTACGTGAAGCCTGGAATAAATGGCATCTACTTGCCTCTATATTGATGCGGCGTGACATCCCACTACCACTACGATCAAGACTTTATAAATCTGTTATACGTCCGGTGTCGTTATATGGTGCAGAAACATGGCCAATGACAACCAAACTAGAACAACTTCACCGAACCGATATGAAAAGGCTCCGATGGATGCAACGAATTAGTTTAAAGGACCACATCAAATCTACCAAAATCCTGCGTCGTGCTGGTTTAGATAATATAAAGGACGAATGCCGGCAACACCGTCTGAGGTGGTTTGGTCATGTCAAACGAAGTGGAAACAGTGCCATAACTTTTTTTGCAGATGTTGAAGTACCTGACACACGTCCCAAAAGCCTTCCAAAAAAGTCCTGGTCGCAAACAATCGAGCAAGACATGAAACCTCTAAATTTAAATAAAATGGATACAACTGATCGTCTAATTTGGCGCCAAAAAATTGATGGCAAAGAAAACAACGTCCTTACTCGAGAGAACTGGGTCTCTGGACGCTAAGCGAAGATTGATTTAACTTTTACCCCATACTTATCTCACAACATCAATTACATGATAGGCAGAAAATTATACTTTTGTCTAAGTTTCTTATTGAAAGTATCTGACATAGAAAGTACAATAGAAAAAATAAAATATTTCACTGTCACTGAGTTTGAATCATTGTGAACATTACCTTCATTCCTTTTACTTGTTATACTGTATTTATAATGTGTGTAGATGTAATTAAGGCCTAACAACAAGTTATGTAACAGTGATTTGTATATTTCCATATTTAGATCTCCATCCGTGGTCATCGGTCACAAATTGCGCTTTGACATCAGAAAGTTTTATTTCAGAGAAAGATTGGTAGTTGTATGGAACAGCTTCCTGAATGGTGTTGTTAGCTCTTCCTCTCTCAACACATTTATAAAGACATTGGATAAATTTTAGAATAATCAGCCTGTGTTATACAACATTAAGAAGGACATTGCTTGTACATATTATACAAATTGCACTTTGACATCAGAAAGTTTTATTTCAGAGAAAGATTGGTAGATGTATGGAACAGCTTCCTGAATGGTGTTGTTAGCTCTTCCTCTCTCAACACGTTTATAAAGATAAACGGATAAATTTTAGGATAATCAGCCTGTGTTGTACAACATTAAGAAGAACATTGCTGGTACAGCATTTTGTTAGGCTGTATACAAAAGGATATATACATAGAGGCATATACCTGCACCCTTTTTCCTCGTTACGTGAACGTTGCATTACGATATTTATATTTGTTCCAATGAGCTTAGTTTTCGACTGTTTTTCATGACAAGTTGTGATGTTTTGTTAGTGTTATAGTAGATGACGAGTTTGTTACTGTTGACAGCTTGGATTTTGGAATAAACGATTCTTTTGAGTTAAGATTCATCTACTTTGTATTTGTCGTACATCAGAGTTCTATGATATAGTGGAATGACTGAAGACGTGTTGATATAAAATGGTTGTAGTCTTTAGTTTGCTGATGGCAATGAGATTATGGGTTATGGTTGCTTTAATGATAGAGTTGGGATACACGGAATTGCTTAGTGCGAGAGAGTTCTGAATGAAAAAATATATATCTATACGAATATAACATATATAACTGATAACTTATGTATAGTTAATCTTTTGGCACATTATTCTGAACAAGTTTTTGCCTTTAGCTAGCAGTATTTCATTCTTCGCTTATAACCAATATTTAAAAAATAGTTAAAACTAATCACACTTTTTCATTTGAATTATAAAAAAATTAAGTTTCAACTTCATCAATAAATCAAATTCTAAAAATGTTGACATTGTAAGAAGTTATGTTATAGTCAGTTATATATTTTTCTGTATAATTTATTTGTTTTATCTTATTTAAATAAACACGTTTATTCTGTGGCCCATTTTTTGATACATTTTTACGTCTCATTGCATTTAGTTGTCATTATTACTTAGATATATTTCAATTCAATGATTAAAAACAGCGTGGATAGCAGTGATTATATGAGAAATGGTGACTTTTTACCAACAAGACTTCATGCACAACAAGATGCTGTTAATCTTGTTTGTCATTCTAAAACAAGATCAAATCCGGAAAATAACGTTGGACTTATTACATTGTCTCGGTGTGTTTTACAACTTTGAAGTGTTCTATATTTATAACTAATATTTTGATTAACATTAGAAACACCGAAGTGTTAGTGACATTGACATCTGATGTGGCAAAACTGTTGGCTAAATTGCACCAGTTGAGGCCAAAGGGAGACATTAATTTCGTTTCAGGAATTAGAGTGGCCCATGTAAGTATTAATTGCTGAAATTTGTCATGATAACTCCATTTTTAATTTTTGGTAACTTATTATAGTTCAATGCTGAAATATCGTTTTTTAAAATTTTCCACTTATTTTTAGTCAAAAATGTTATACAATTGAAGTACAGAAAAATACAATTTCTAGGGCAAGCAATTTTTTTGAATGCAGAAGAATTTTATAATTGTTGCAAAATATAATTTAAAAAATGATTAGGACACTTTAATTACTGTTTAACGATTCTGTTTTATTTATAATTTTATTCATAAATAAATTTAATTTTTGAAATTTTTTCAAAATATAAACATAAATAACTGAATAATTAAATAAACGACCCAGTAACTAATGTAATATTCGTATTCAATTGTGTGAAAAGAAAATTGATGTAATCTTAAACACATTTTACTTACTTAATATTAGTTACTTTAAGTACTTTATTTAGTAAAATTTTACTTACTTAAGTAAGTACAATATCACTTACTTAAGTAAGTGATATTTCATTGTGGATAAATTGTTAGATTTTGCAAAATTTTAGGGTTTTCTTGGTGGTAAAAGATTAAACAGTTCACTCTAACGGTAAAAGACTGTAAAACAGATCGTTCTAGATTTTTAGGAAAATTTTTTACTGCACAATTTCTATAGGATTTTTTGTAAAAACGTTGGACGAAAATGGCAGACTATATTATTAGGCAGTTATTGCTTGTATTGATAAGTCTTTGAATAAGTTTAGAAATTTGATGTTATTGATATTATGTCACATAATATCAATCACACATAACTTATGTGTAAAAAGTGTACTCATCTATAGATTTTATTCTATGACATCCATTGAAGGCTGCATGCTATATAGAAAAAATCTTGAAACAAAGTAAAAGCGATGGAGATAACTTATCTCATAATTACAGACGCTTTTATTTAGTAATTGTTGGGGCAGTAAATATGATGTGTTCTATAACAATGGTCAAATGTTACTTATAATAATTGCGAGGTATTTTTAAAAGAAAATAAAGGGTCTCATTAATCAATTATTCTTAATATAAAACCTGTTCATAATTCATTAATTCAATTTATTAATCTTATAATTTATCAAACATAACGTAACAATATTTAGTTAGTTTTGAAACACAGACAAGGCAAAAACCATAAAATGAGAATTATAGCTTTTATTGGCAGTCCCATTGAAGATTCAGAAAAAGAGGTAGAAAATTTGATTTTAAGTTTATTATTTGTATGCTAGCATTTTTATTTTTTGCACTAGAATATTATATATATATATTATGTATGTGTATATGTATGTGTGTGTGTATATATATATATATATATATATATATATATATATATATATATATATATATATGCATATATAATATACAACGTCGTGTTTTTGGCATTGTTGATTATCTGTTGATTATAAAAATTATCTTTATTCTTAACTAATTCAGCTTCTATTTGCTAATACATTAGCCTCTTTGAATTTCTCTTTTATTTGCATCAACCCTCCGCTTTTAAAGTTATTTATCACTTACCGTTTTGGTTAAATTTAAAACTATTGCACCTTGTGCTAGTGCTGTTTTTCTCCAAATAAAATATTCTGCATCCATTGGCTGTCTTTTTCTGTTCCACTAACCCTGGAAATATTGATTTAGTTTGGCTAACTCTCAGCTAGTTATTTTTTATCTTGAACTATATACTCTAGTTGATATTTGTGTATGTAGTTTGTATGGAAGTATTGTAACCGTAAATTTTTCATTAGTTTTCTAAACCGTTATTTTGATGTTTAACTGCAATTTTGTTGATGAAAATAATTTTAACAACTAAAAAATTCTTTCTAGCTCGTTAAATTAGGAAAAAAGTTGAGAAAAGAAAAAGTCAACGTTGACGTCATCAATTTTGGCGAAGAAGTATTTTTTTTGTTACTTTTTTGATAATATTGTTACAGATGTGAAGGGGAGATAAAAATTAGTAATTAGAAATTAAAATGAAGCGCTTGATAATTTAATTAAGAGGCGGAGCCAATGAAAACGGTTGTAAAAGTCATGTGATGTACTTACTAGCGCTTCTACTGTTCGAGCTAACATGGTGACCGATTTTTGATTAGTCAAAAATTTTATTTTCAGTAAAGAATGGTAAGGTCTAAACCAATGTTCTTGTTTTGTCAATGTTTTTCTTTAAGTGGTCATATGTGTGAGGGTGTAGTATAGTATTGTAGGAATTCTGCCGAATGGTTGGCATTAATCAATTTAAAGTTTGTCTCGTCAATTTTCCTTACTAGAATTTTCTGGAAATTGTTCAATTTATTGAAAATAGAATTATTATCCAAGTTCATCATGCAATTTTTTTTAAATAAAACGTTTATCCAAATTCATCATGCAGATAAACCTTATTTCGATTTTTCAAAAATCTTCGGTGCAGCTTTGGTTTATATAGTTTCTCTAGACAAAGCATAGTTAGTTACTTAGTTTCTTTAGACAAAGCAAAAGCAAAATTAGTTACTTAGTTGGTGTCATATTCTTCATCTATTTTGTTGTTGTCACTTCCTTTTTACTCATTGTTATTTAAGTTAGTAATAAGGCGTTGAGTTGGTAGTGATGTAATCTTTCTTTTTGGTTGTTTATTTGTGGTACAGCTGTATAAAGGGGCGAAGACAAAAGTGAGGGTCGGAAGGGAGATGTCGGACGCTTTTAGTGTTAAGGTAGGAGTGCATCAAGGATCAGTGTTATCACCGTTTTTGTTTGCAATTGTGATGGATGTTGTGTGTGGAAACATAATGGAGGAGTTGTTATTTGAGATTTTGTATGCAGATGATTTAGTCTTGATGGCTGATAGCATGGAAGAATTGCAGTTAAAATTTGACAGATGGAAAAGTGTTATTGAAAAGAAAGGGTTAAAAGTTAATATTGGTAAGACGAAGGTAATGGTAGGTGGGGAAGGTGGGGAGCGAGTGATAAGTAAAATAGACCCCTGTGGGGTATGTGACAGGAGAAGCTAACTCGGTATTGTGTATAGGATGTCAGAAGTGGGTGCATAAGAGATGTAGTGGTGTGAGGAGGGCAGGTAAAAAAGGTGGAAGGCACGTTCAAATGTAAGAAATGTGTTCATGGTGTGATTAATAGGACGGATTCAAGGACGGGGTTGAGTGGTGGTATTGAAAGAGTGGAAAGCTTTGATTATTTAGGGGTTAAGCTGATGGAGGATGTTTGAACGCTGTTACGACTAGAGTTCGTGTGGGATGGATGAAATTTAGGGAACTTGGTGGGGTATTGTGTGGAAATAAATGGTCAGTGAAAATGAAAGGTAGGGTATATAAAGCATGTGTGAGAGCAGCGATGGTATATGGTGGTGAAACTTGGGTGTTGAGGAGAGAGGAGGAAAGTGTACTGCAGAGGGCTGAAAGAGCTATGGTGAGGATGATGTGTGGGGTTAAAGTGAAGGATAGGGGGAGTAGTAAAGAGCTGATGTCGAGGATGAGACTGAATGAGGACATTGTGACATTGATAAGGAGATCGAGATTGCGGTTGTATGGACATGTGCTGAGAAGGGATGAAAGGGTCGAAATTAGGCTAGTGTCGGAGTTCGAGGTTGAAGGAGTGATAGGAAGAGGTCGTCCGCGACTGGGATGGAAAGAGCAGGTGGAGAAGGACATAGTGAAAGCGGGGTTGCGTGACACTGAGGCGAGTGACAGATGTGAATGGCGTCGAGGGGTATTTCGGTTTCATCATAGGTAGCCAAACGGCAACCCCCGATCTCGGGGAAAATGTCGTCTAAACGTGTGTTGTTGTTTTTTGTTGTTATGTTTATTTGTGGTTTATGATTAAACATAAAACAAAGAATGTAGTGTGTATGTATATATATATATATATAAATATATATATATAAATTATTGTATATATATATATTATATAGTATATTAATATAGTATACTATATTGTATATATATATATATATATATATATACAATTATTTATAAAGATCATTGCGTTTTCGGCACTATTCAACTTGTAGTTGAGTTTCTCAATTTTTCTAACGAGACTTATCATTTTAATGAAGTTTATTAAGGTTAAATAAAAAACTTTTAATATTTGACAAAACATTATTAATAACATTATTACTAGAGAAAAGCTCTTTTCGGCATCAACTGCCATCAGTGTAGTTATATTGTATTGTTCCGTCTTTGTGTCTTTGTTTTTACAGCGACTTTGATTGTAACTTAATTAGAATTAAAATTAATCATGTGTTTCTTTGTTAGAAGAATATTGGTATTATTTAGTTGAATATTTATTGCTGGTTTACGTTTATCGATGAAAATTGATTCTGCTATCTTCAATTTGAAATATTCTCTGTTGTAATAAATTGCTTTGGTGTTATTGTCTAAAATTTCTTTTATTATAATTGTGTTATGTTGTTCCATTAGGTGGTCTTTTATTGCTCCATGTTGCTTATGCATAGTGAGTCTTCTCGTTAATGTTTTTGTAGTCATTCTGATGTATTCAGAATTTTGATGCACGCACTCACCAATTTTACATGTGAATGAATAAATCAAATGACTACTTTTCTTATCTGAGGAAGGTTTAATGTTGGAATTGTTTTTTATTATTAGAGATGATGTTTTCCTGTTCGTGTAGTAAATTCTTAATTTTATTGAACTATTTGTATCTATGACTTTAACATTGTTATTTATTATCTTTTTCATTATTTTTTCATCTGTTTTATATGATGAGGACATACTATTTTTATAATAAATTATGATGTTTTTTATATTGTTGTTATTGTCGTTTGTATTTTCATTGTTAATTTGTTGTTCTTTGCGGTGAATCATTTTCTATACTTGTGATAGTTTGTATCCATTATTAATTAGGAGATTGGTTACTCGTTGGAGTTCTTTTTTTCTATCTTCGGCTTTTGATGAGTGAGTATACGCCCTGTTGACGAAGGCACTGATCGTACTGGTTAGGAATGTTTCAATGCACTAACTAATCCCATTGAGACAGAGTCCTTTGTTCGTTGGTTTTGTGTATACCGTAGTTGTGAATTTATTTTCTTCTTTGTTTGTAAGCACGTCTAAGAATGGTAATTTATTATCAGTTGATTTTTCTATAGTAAATTTCAATTTGGATTTGTTGTATATTTTTAGTAGTTTTGTGATTGTATTGGGGTTGTTGTAGGCAACAAATTTATCGTCGATGTATCCACAGTATATTTGTGGTTTAAGCTGTGGATGATTTACGAATGTAATCTTTTATAAGTGACCTATGTAAAAATTTGCAAAAAGTACACAGTGGAGAACCCATTGTGATGCCGTCGATTTGTTTATAGAGTTTGTTGTCTGGACAGTAGAATTACGCTTCCATTGTGTAGATTTCTAGTAGGGATTTTAATTGATTTTAGGTATGTTTAAAGGCGTATGTTTAAAATTATAGATAGTGTTTAATATGATTTCAATGGTATCTTTGACGGGAACATTAGTAAATAATGATTCCACGTCTAGTGAAGCAATGTTTGTGTTAATTGTTGGTGTGGAGGATAAAATGATGTCTATAAATTCTTTACTGGATTTTAAATTTTATATATATTTTAAAATTTAGATAGCAGAATCAATTTTCATCGATAAACGTAAACCAGCAATTAATATTCAACTAAATATTTTCTGTAGTAATAACGTTATTAATGATGTTTTGTCAAAAATGTCAAATATTAAAAGTTTTTTATTTAACTTTAATAAACTTCATTAGAATGATAAGTCTCGTTAGAAAAATTGAGGAACTCAACCAAAAGTTGAATAATGCCGAAAACGCAATGATCTTTATAAATAATTGTATTTATGATAGTCTAAATCCAATATGTAAATATTGTCGGAAATTTGAACTGGAAGTGAGATAATCTCTTCCTCTATCTTTCTCAGGGAATTTTTTTTATGGTCCGACAATAATTTTTTGTATATTTTTATCGTAAGTTCGACCAGTCCTGTGTGGCACTGGGCTTTTTCGAATTATAGGATTTTACTGGGTAACACACGAACGCGCAAAATATTCGATAACAATTTTATTAATCGACGGAAGTAAATGAAAAGGAATTGAACTAACTGAATTCTAGAATAATGTTAAAAATAATGTCAATGAACAAACTGGAATACAGGAATTAGAACTTCTTCTTGTTGGGTCGGGCAACTTGGAATATGTTTCTTGCCGTTCAATCGTACAACCCCGACGTGTGTGACCGATGGTGGTGTCGATACAACTCCGAGAGATAAATAAAATGAATGCAGAAAAATTACAAAAATCGGAGCCTATGGAAATTTCAAGTTGCGTGCAAAACTATACCAATGAGTATAGAATCCAGCAAAGAACCCTAGGTCCACAAATAGCACAACAAAAACAAAGCAACGAGGCGGATTCGTTTTCACAGAATCCAAGGCCTGTTTTCACTGGGCCGTCGAGTCTGGTCGGCTTTCGCACGACCAAGGGCCTGTTGTCACTGGGCCTGTCAGTCAGTCGGTCGGCTTTCGCACAACCCTGGCCTGTTTTCACTGGGCCGTCGAGTCTGGTTGGCTTTTGCACAACCAACACAAAACAACAAGAGTCAGAACAACTCTGGGAACAAATTGTGTGACTTTAGTACGCGTGCGAAACTATGCCAATGAGCATAGAGTCTTGTACCAAATTCACTTTTGAGAACTTAAGACGTTTCTGAAACTATGCCAATGAGCATAGAATCACGAATTAAGTCTCTTAGATACCAGAATAGGCACCGATTACTCGAAGCTTCCTAACTTGTGAACCCAAGGCGGACTCTTTTCGAGAACTTAAGACGTTTCCGTGCCAATGAGCGTAGAATATCCAATTAAGTCTCTTAGAGACCAGAATAGGCACCGATTATTCAAGGCTGCCTAACTAGTCAACCCAAT